TCAAGAATCATGTCACCCTTGAAGCAACTGAAATTAACTGAATCTGTAAAACAAAAGAAAAAAGAAAGTCGTAAAGAATTCCAAGATGGCGACGACCAGGCCGCAATGTCACCGGCCTCAGACAGACTATCAGACCAGGATTCCGTCTGCTCCAAATACTCTGAATCTCCAGTCACAGAATACAGCTTACACAAAATGCTGCAGGATTTATGTGCCATGATTAATGCAGACTTCCATCGCATTGACGGACACCTAAGAAGAGAGATGTCTAACTTGGGTGACAGAATGAGTCACTTAGAAAGCCGGACAGAAGAACTGTGCACTGCTCACAAAGAAGTAGTAGACAAGGTACACAAGCTTGCTGAGGAAAATGCTTTATTAAGAAATAAAATGGATATGGAGGACAGATCGAGGTGGCAAAATGTTCGCTTCCAGACGATGAAGTCTATATTGAAGTCTTTGGTACCAGAACTACCTGCATGGGCCTTTGATCGCATGCATAGACTCCCTTGCCCAGCTAGGCACACAGGGGACACACAAAAGATGTCATAGTAAAGTTCCATTATTATGCACACAAGGATGCATCACTAACAGCTGCCAGGAAGCTTTCTACATGCCCAGCTCTACACCAACATCTTTCCCTATTTGCGGACCTATCAGCAGCCACGATGGCAAAACACAGAGAATTTATTAATGTTACCAAAACCCTTTGCAGCCATAATATTTTATGCAAATGTGGACATCCCATGAAATTGCTAGTTTGGAAGTAAGGTAAAGGTCTGTATGAGGGAATGGGGGCTGTGGAATACTGCCTCTTCTCCAAAAACAGGCTCTTCATCCCCAAGAAGAATTCAAAATGAATGGCAAATGGTGGGATCTCCACTGAACAAATCTTGAACTTTGGATGCTAAACTCTTTTTGCTCAACCTAGTCACAATGGGAGACTCACATGAATCATGTCATCTTGTTGTTTCTAGTTAGAGTTATGGTTTTGTCCTTTTCTTCTTAACATAAAAGGGCTAAATAGCCTTCATAAAAGAAGGCTGATCATTAAAGATATGCACCACTCTGGGGCGACCATAGTCTGCTTTCAAGATACGCACTTTTGTACTAAAAACCCGCCTCAACTTATATCGACTAAGTATCCTGTTGCATACCATGCATACACCCCAAACAAAATCAAAGGTGTTGCCATACTTTTACATGCAGATTGGGTTTTCAAATTACACAAACAATAAGCTGACTATGCAGGTAGACTACTAAGTCTTGTAAGGGATCTAAATGGGATAGCATCTCTTTAAGCCCCTAGTGAAGCTCAGTATTCCTTTATGAACACTGCCATTAAGAAAATATCATCATACAATTGTCTGTGGTGATTAAAATTGTACCCTAGGCCTGAATCTGGTTATACAATGTACACAGGGTAGACCACCTAACAAATCCTCCATACACACCAGCAAACAATTCTCGAACCTGCTACACAATCTTGATTTGTATGATACCTGGAGAAACAAACCCTTTACTTAAGTATTACACCTATTTTTATCCTGTACACATGACATACTCACGCATTGATTTATATATTGTAGACAAAACTACCCTTCCCCACGAAGAATCTCAACATATAGGGCAAAGCGTATGGTCGGACCATGCTCCAACAATGACCACCCTCAGAGGCTCCTACTCGTCGCGTGCAAGAGGCACATGGAGATTGAACTAATCCATCCTTGACTGCCCACTTTAAACAAAACAAATAGCAAACACATTACAAACTTACTTCTCAAATAACATTACAGATGACACTACACTGGAAACACAATGGTTATCCCACAAGGCTGTTGTACGGGGAGAAATAATTAAAATAGGGTCTTCCATCCCTTCTACACTCTGCTGGACATCTCTCTTTCCCACATATAAACATACATACACAAGCAAGATTATTGGAAGGATAAAAACCACCACCAAATCTATAGAGTGGAGCACATCAAATGGTGTGTAGATAACTTCAAAGTGTAAGATCACTATGTGAAGTAGTGATGGTTAAACTCACATGGTTCTAAGCTAGATTTGACAGGCTCAGGTCGTATTTGCAGTAGTGTACTTAGGTGACAGTATACCTCTTCCAAATTCTGTGATGTATGCTCTCAAGGAGACAAAAAGGTGGAGAAATAGGAGATAATGCTCTTAGTGTAACACAGTAAACTTCCAGGTAGTTTATATATATATACAATAAATGACTGCTTGTCAGGGCTTACCTGAATGGGAGTCTGTACCGCAGATATATGTGCTCACCCTTGCAAGTAAACACAGGCCAAGGTGGTCAGGTAAGCATTCACCTGGCCTGTGAGTCGGTGCATGGGGGCTGTGCAAGTCTCCAAGTCGCAGTACAGATACGGACATAAACAGGAGAATCGTCGTTGGTAAGCCAAAGGTCAGTGGGTGCCAGAAATCAGGATAAACCAGTAGAGAGCCGAGGTCAGAGGATGCCAGAAGTCAGGGTACACAAAATAACAAGCCAAGGTCAGGAACCAACAGGTGAACACGAAACAGCAATACTAGAACCAGAGTCAATGAACTGGGGAGAGGCAGTGTCTTATACCTGGATAATCAGTGATCAGCCACAGGTGAACCATGAGTGACAGGAGCAGTCTCAGATAACGTCCAGCCCCCAGTGCTGGATACAAGGCAAGAGTAGACTTCTGGAAATTCCTGAGCTGTATGGTGACTCAGAGGCAAAAAACACAACCCCAGTACTGCAGAGTACTCAGGTTCAAATCCCTATGGGGCACTTCTGGGGCAACCTCTTCTGGCAGTCTGGATGTTGCGGTGAGAACCGTGACAGTACCACCTTTTCAAGAATGCCCCCTGGGCGTGAATAGGTTCTTTGTTATAAAAGTACACCTCTTCAGGTTCACTATCTGAGTCATAGTCAAAGTCCCCAGTGTGGAATCCCTTTTCAGCTTCTGGTACGGCTGGAGAACAGTCCAGGTCTTTTAGGATCTGGTTACAGGTGGTTAGCACTTCCATTACTTCAGCAGGAGCGATGTTCGCGGCTAACAATGCTTCTTCAAACATTTCTAGATCTTCTGTACAGACTATAGTGCCATTAGAAGCAAAGGCACAATCCACAGGTAAATCTTTTTTGGGCTGACAGAAAGTAGTGATTGTATTACTGGAAGTAACTTCGGGAGTAGATGCAGGCGGCTCTGGAGCAGGGGATGGAGGGTTCTCAGGGGTACTGGTTGCAGGTTCTTGAGGGACACTGGTAACATTGACTGTAGTGGTTTGGGTACCCTTTTATGTCACAGAACAGGGACAGGGCTGGCAGTTTCCAGGTTATCTTGCCGGGATGACAGGATAAGTCCGTAGGGTACCCATTAGAAGAGTTTTTGGCCTAGGTGGACGAGTTGGGCAGAGAGAGACAAAATGCCCTCTTTCTCCACAGTAAAAACACAGGCCCTGGACTCTCCTATGGTCTCTTTCCTTAGGAGCCAACCTGGATCGGGTAAATCCAATCTCCATAGGTTCCTCCCTGTCCAGAGGAATTTCACAGCTTACTTGATTACATTCAGGCTGACAAGGCCGGTTGCTGAAGGTAGGTTTGTACTGGAACAGGATGGAGTCATCTTTTTCTCTGGTTACCCAAGATCTGCGGGGTCCTGGAGCAGGCTTTGGAGTTGCTTTCCTGGAGGCAACGCACTGAGAGTCCATTGCTGTCATGAATGTCTCCCAGCTTTCCAAGACAGTGCTTTTTTCCTGCAGCTTCTGGTATGCCCACTCCTTAATCCATCCAGAAAGTAAATTAATAGCAGTCCGGATCTTGACTAAGTCGCTATAATAGGTCCTGGGCTTAAGGGAAAACAGGAACTCACAATCCATCCTGAATGTTGTAAATGAGGAACGGGAACCATCAAATCTTACAGGCATCACAACAAATGACTCTGGATAAGCAGGTTCTGGGGCTGGGCATACCGTGCCTTTAAGAAATGGAACTTCTTGCTGCAGCTCTGAAACAGTCTGGGTCAGGCTGGACACTTGCTGAGCAAGGGAGG